CTAGGGATTTATTTCAGCATAAAAATGCACAGGAGTGCACTGTAATCACTTAAAACGCCACAAAAGGGGGGGGGACACAAATAAATAAAAATACATGGAGGCTGCTGTTTTGAAGCACAAACTATCTACACACACTCTCACTCCTGATTTGTACTACCTAAACCAAACGTAAAAAAGTGTGTTGTTTCATCTGGGACACACACTGTATAACACCAACACACACAAAGGCATTACAAACAATTACCAGCAGTTTTGCTATCCTTAAATGACCCTGGCAGGTGGGTTACTCTTGTGGGGAACACACACTTCTCTTTCTCTATTAATAAAGCTTAAGTGTGAACAGCATGTGTGTATTATGTGTGTGAGAGCGTTCACTTGCAAGGAGAATAAATTATAGAGTTACTAGATTTTTAGCAATCACCCCTTGCAGCTGTGATAAAATACAGGAAAAACAAGGAACTTTGTCAAAGAACAAAAATGTTACATACAAAGGGTGTTAAAAACCCTGGCACAGGATAGCAATGGCCCTTAATGAGATATGAACAATGTACAAAAAAGGCCCGAGAATGCAGATGTTCTCAGACAACTATGTAGAACAGGCATAGGCAAACTCGGCCCTCCAGATGTTTTGGGACTACAACTCCCATCATCCCTGACCACTGGTCCTGTTAGCTAGGGATGATGGGAGTTGTAGTTCCAAAACATCTGGAGGGCCGAGTTTGGCTATGCCTGATATAGAACAAGGATGGAGAATCTTCTACCATGGGTTGTTGAACTACAGAAAAATCAAGCAGGTTCCACAGATCTCTCCCATCTAAGTAAGGCTTTGAATTCTTGGATAAAGTTAGCTATCGGGCACCCCTCCTTGAGGAAAGGGGTCTTATGGTGCTGACTGGCCTTGCGCATGAGGGGCTATGTATCAGGCATCTCCAAAGAGAGCGCTTGGAAGATGTAAATTGAGCTGGCTATCAGCTGTCCAGTGCTGGGCAGCCTCTTGTAGGGGGTGGGACCCTGCAGACCAGGCAGCTGCCAGGTGGCTCAATCTGCGCTTTCAAAGCTCTTCTCAGGTGGGCTGGATGAAATTCAGCAGCTGGATGGGCCAGACTGAGTCTGTGATGTTTTTGCACCTGTTTAGTAAAGAAGGGCGGGATATAAACTTAAGAAATATCTGCAGTCACTAGTGTGGTTTATTGGTTGCATTACTGTGCGCCTTCACATTTCTCTGTGGAAATTAAACATCAGAAGCTGTTTGTTGTTCAGACCAAATTGTGAGAGGGGAAGGTAATCTGCTAGCAATCCCGCCCCCCCTTATTGTTCTTGAGAATGCTATAAAAGTATTGTTTTCAATCTGAAATTTCTATACTGTGATATGTGCAGCTAAACAAAGAAGCCCTCGGGGAGACGATGCACCCTTCTTTTGCACAGCCACAATCCATTCAGAGAAAAACTGATTCGTCTTTGTGAGTGGTTAATATATCCAGGGCCCTTTTTCCCCAACCGGAACTCAGTTCTTGCATCTCTCAGATGGGCACCACTGCCATTATCAGAGAACAAGGGTGAGTTCACAATGGGTTGCAGAATCTCTTTTTCTAGAAGAATAGCACTGAATATATCTAATAAAGTTTTACATAGATCACAACTTTTTAAAGCTCTCATTTAACATTCAGTGCTGGCTTCTATACAAGCTGCTATATTTAAATCATTAATCAAAAATGTTTCTATTGGGACTTATTTTCCACCACAAGGTGATTTTAAAAGATCACCTCTCTTTTGCAAGTATGTGGATGGTGGTCTTGGGAGTTGGCCAGCACCATGTGTTCAGCTGTACAGGTATTTGGGGGGCGGAAAGGAGAAGAGAAGTGATGCAAGTTAGACCAGTTAACTGTAGACCAATCTCCAACTTGATCTCACCCCAAGAAACTGTGAAGAACAGGAATTAACTATAAAGTGAAAAGCAATGGTAGCGGGGAAGTCAAAGTGTTTCTTAAGAACTGGTAGGCATGCTGTACTGTATCATCTCTGTCATTTATGATCCACATACTACAGCAAGATTTTACATTATTATTATTATTAGGTTCTAAAGGACACGCCTTGCCATCACTTAAATTAATCACTTTATGAACATTTTGAAAGAGCTTTTGGAATAAGCCGGAGAAATAGGAGATTATGAAGATGCAAAGATGTCAGAATACAAAACAAAGGCTGCAGACCAAGCCCCTGGCTGCAAGTGACAGTGCCTGATGGACAAGCTCTGCCCTCGCTGTATCTACAGACCTGCCCCTGCTAGCCAGGTTGTGAGGTGTGGGAGAGGTATGAAAAATATGTTCCTTCACTGCATCAGCTCCCAGGTCAGTGCAGTAAAGAGGCCCAGATTGGGCCCACTGCCATCATGCAACAGCAGTGGGGCTGGCTAAAGAGGCTGAGGACCCTGTCCTAGTCCACCCCTTCCCCAAATGCCCCATTTCAGAGGCTTCTGCTAGCTACCATGAGTGGGGATACCTCGGACAGTAGCGTCTACCTTCCTGCACGTTGGGAAGCTTCTTGGTATTGGGAGTTGGCAGGAATGGACACAGGAATTCCCCCCCTCCCAACGCCATCCAACTTTGGACTAATCTGTAAGTGTTGTCTGAGGTTTAACTTGGAACAAGCCAATTTAGGAAATGTTTAGTCCTGGGGCTGATACAACCTTTGACCCCAATGTCCGTGTACATTAACAACCTAAGTGGGTTCTTATTCGCTCCCCTCTTCATTATCATTGTTATGTATTGAGGTTCTCACCCTGGCCACCAGGGGGTATTGTGTATATAGTTTTCACTCAGGTCCACATGAGTTAATTTAGGCGGGAAACCCTGGGCTGTTGTTGTTACAATGGTGACAGCCGGCTGCCTATAAAAGCAGACCGGCTGAGCTGTTTGCGGTTCAGTTCAGTTCCAGCTTACTTATTAAGAACTACTTGGAGAAATCTCTGTGTCGTCTGCTATGTCCACCCACTACCTAATAATCATCATTCACATGGCAAGTCATCCTCTTTTCCCTCCTCCAGGCTTCTGAAAGAGTCAAGCGTGGAATGGGAGGTCTATAGAGTCTGTGGATTGCAAATTCTTCTGCTTCCAAGGTCTTAAATTGGCATTAAAGGACGATATGCCAAGTCCTGTACCAATGAGGTGAACTGGGGAAACTGATGAGGACAACTTTCATAGTGGGTACGGGTATAAAGCTGTGAAACAAAGCCTAGTTTAAAAGGCGGCAATAGGCTTTTGCATGCCCCAAATCTGTCACATAAGGCCTCATGTCAGAAACTGGAGTGATGCTATAGGTCCACTCTGTGCCAGTTTTACTCCAATTTCTAGGAGGAAAGTTGCTAGTGTGGGAAAGACCTCCAGAACAGACTCCTCCATTATGGCCTGTGGCTTTTGATATTACCTTTGGGGTGCAGGAAAGAACTAAGCTAAGCTGCAAACAAAAATGATATGAGAAGGGCCCTGTGAGGTCCTGATTTCACTGTGCTCTCTTATTTATTTACTTCTGCTTTTACTATTTTTATTTACAAGAGGTGGCAAACAAAACAAACACACAGCCGATACTAAGGAGAACTAAGGCACGTAGAGAAGGGAAAAGTGGTAGCCAACTTCTTCGCAACATCATCTTTTAAATACCTCTGTTACATCACATGACGAAAACAAAATACAGATAACAAATAAGAGAGAGCAATACTAACACAGTGTTGGTTGTTATCAAACTTCAAGCTCCCCCAAGCTATCAATTAGTAGCTATCAGCTTCTTAGCACCACAGCTCCTCTCAGGTTCAGAAATAGCACCCTTCGTTTCCCAATGTACTTTATTAACAAAGTCAACCTATAGCAAACAATTTATAATTCTCTGCAAATCCCTTGATAACACATTTCACATTCTCATTCACAGCTTTTAAATGATCAGTTACGTAAGAACTTTGATGCTGTTGAAGATGTTAAGTGCACCTGTAGCACATAATAATCATCATCATCATATCATATCATATCATATCATATCATATCATATCATACCATACCATATCATATCACAGTTAACAGGCCAGGAATCAGAGAGAAAGATTTGTGAAATCTTATGATGAAGGCTGGTATATAAGTCTAATAAATAAATACAAAATAAATGAATCAAAACTCAATGAAAACATCTTCCTGGTGCAAATCAGAAACACGGTGGCCATATTTGGATGACCACCCAAGGCTTCATCAACCATGGACAAATACTCCTCCCTCACCACTCTCCCCTTCCCATCGCACAGATCCTGGCTCACATTTAACCAGAGTTCCCAATTATGTCCAAATAGGGTTTCTCTAACTTAGTGCTGGTTAACAAACCTGGAAAATGAGTCAGGATAGTTTTTTGGGTTTGTTCACTAACATTAAGCCAGACTTCCCTGGGTCAGATGTAACAGGAAACTCTCGACTTAATGTGAGCCAAGATCTCCATGCATGTGCAGAATGTGAGGGGAGGAGCACATGGCTATGCTACTCATCCGTAGCAGTTTTAAAAGCTGCGGAGAACTGACTGAACACAGCCACCAGACACTAGGCCTCAGAATGTTTTCTTGCTGTATTATAAAACCTGTCTTTGAATAATATATTCCTCCCCCTACCCAAAACAAGCAGTCAAAAGAAAATCTTGCTCTTAATAACCAAGACAGATTATTTTTGAGTTTGTTTGCTGTGAAACATTTCCCTTCAAACCCACTGGGCTGGCGAGCTACACAGAATCCATAATTTCTAGGATATTTTTTTCCTAGGAGGATTAGATTAGTTAAACCATGGTTTTAAGAGGCAAATGAAGTTTTTGAAGCATTTGCCCTGGACACAGGATCCAAAACTTGGAGAAGCAGCCCATCCTTCATGTCCCTTTCGAAGTGGGAGAATATATAATGTTTAGGGTGAGAATTTGGGCTGGGGCAGCTGTTGGTGGGCTGGAGTTCTTATCAGGGCTGTCTTAAGCATATGCGGCACCGGGATGCGAAGTTCCGCCTGGCACCCGCCCCCCGGTTGCCCAGTCCCAGGCGTGCAGGAGGGCAGAGCCAGCCGGCCGCTTCAGTGTCTCGCTGGCTCGGCTGCCCCCGAACTTGCGGTGCAGAGCTGCCCACAGCAAAAGAGCCTGCCGTGGCGCTCTGACCGACAGACGGGCTCTTCTCTGGACTCAACTCTCAGGCCTCGAACTCTCGGCCTGGCACCCCTGAGAGCCCAGCACCCAGGTGCCCCGCACCCCTAGCGTCTATGGGTAAGACGGCCCTGGTTCTTATGATACTAGATTTACCTGTGTTTTATTTTATAAATGTGATCTCGTGATGCTTTGTGCTTTTATTTATATACTATTATAAGTTTTCGGAAAAGTAGGCTATCTGTGGGATATAAAGCTGTCAGTCAAGTCCAACATCCCAAGAGAGGACTAACTGCCTCTATGTGGCAGGCAGTTTTGTCGGTTGGTTGGTCGGTTACTGCAAGGAGTGTTAACTGGTAACTGCTCGGATGCAGTCTTCTCATGACTCACTACTATCTAGTATATAGTTTATCTGTTATGTAACCTAAGCCTGCCTTCAGGAACAACTCTGTAAACCTGAATGAATCTGATAGTAAAGTAGTTTATGTTAATATGATTCAGATTCATGTGTGTTGTCTTTAAGAGGGACAGAAAGGGATTATCAACCAGGTATCAACCAGCACTGGCTCCCGGCCTCTAGAGTTAGGTGAGCGCACAACCCTAGAGTCTGTCAAGACTGGCCCTACGGGCAGGGGTACCTTTACCTTTACCTATAATTATTGATAGGACTCAAAACGAGCTAGCAACCCGTTTGTCGTTGCATTAACTAAAACAGGGGATCGTTTAAACTCTACTAAATTATATAAACGTTTCCGCACTATCTAGAATAAAAAGGGCCCTTCTAGTTTAAAGAATGACACTAACGGTAGACATTGTGTAATTTCTACTATACCAACAGAATGCTGAAAACTACATTTTTTAATTTAAAAAAAATAAGGGAAGTTTCTAATAATGACAATTTGGTATGAATAGACAATAGATTCCAATACCCTTAGGCAAATCAGTATATAATGGATGATGTGGTGTAGCCCCTCTCCTACTGTTTATTTTCTAATGAATATTTTTATTCATTTTTAGGTCAACAGGAGTATATAACCAACCAAGAACATCACACTGTATTGGTCTTTACAACCTCTTCGATGTCTGCATTGGCTCAGTTCAATAAATCATTCCACAGGCTCAACTCCTCTCATATTGTTAAGGGTGGCTGATCCTGCTTTAGGCGGTCCGCCTGCTATTAGGACTATGCATTAGATTGGAATTTAGAAAGCTGAGAGAGATGATACCCAGGTTCTTGGCACTTATGATACTGGGTGGCCAAAGCTCCTCACTTTCAGTCAATGACAAAAGGAGAACAAACTTTCTTTTCCTGATGAAGGCAGTAAATGGATAAGAGAGGACAGCACCAGCTTACCTGGGCATCATTCTCTTCATCAATCCCAAATATAAACAGATTATTTCTTTCTTTGGAGGGGAAATGAGGGATGGGGAAAGGGATGTTTTCTCTGACACCACACAAGGTCTTCAGGTTCACACGACCTTAGGTAGTAGCTGGCACTGCCATCTCTTCAAGTTGCCAATTTGCACACACAAATTTATGGCAACAGTAGAGATGAAGCACCTGAAATAAATTACCCTATTTTGGTGAGCAGGGAAGGAGAAGAAAAATGGTGAACTGTATACAGTATGCATAGTATAAAGTTTATCTTGCCCAGATTGTTGGATCTCAGATATGGCAATTTTAAACTGTCACCAAAAACATAAGGCTTCTTATTGCTTCCTCTTTGCTTTGGAATAAAACACCAAAGTATAAGAAAGTGAGGGCTTCACAGTTCTGGCTCCAACCAGCAAATCTAGATTTCTGCATATCAAAGCCACTTCTAGTTCACTGAACAAAGGCAGTCTGTAATGTTCACTTTAGTGGCTATGAAGCAGAAGGAAGGAACAAGGGAGAAAGATGGTTCAATTAGGCTTCAGAACTTTAGACAAAGGTTACTCAAATAAGCAATGTACTGAAACTATGAGTAGCATTTCTGCTCTGTAATTTGTAATAACATGACACCTCAGCTTGCGCAAAAGCACCACAGTGTATACTAATAGCACCCTTATTATTAGATTTTCTGCATGGTTACATAAGCCCATAAAAAGAAAAAAAATGTAAATGATTCAAGAAGATAGTGTTGCAGTTTTCATGAAGTCTTTAATAATCTGAGGCCTGAGAAAGATCCCTGCTGGCAAGAAACTATCAATTTTAATGCTTCATTAAAACTGTTCTTTTGAGTATTTTAAAAAGAAAATGCTGATAGGCAAATGAAGCAAAAACATTTTTTAAAGTAAGGGTTTTGTGCTAATTTCTGCCATTAGATCTTTCATGCTTATCCTGAAAAACTGTATGCATAATTCTTTGTCTGCCCAATAGGTCTACTTTGCCCTATAGGATAGCAGGTGTGTGTGTGTGTGTGTGTGTGTGTGTGTGTGTGTGTGCATAATATATATATGGGCCAAGTAAGGGCAAAAGAAAGGAGGATTGTGCAGAGATTCTGATGATCAGAAAAGGCTAATTCCTTGCTGCATTGCAAATTATAATCATTGTGATTCTTTCCTACAAACTGCTATGAAAGTCTAGTTAATATTCTTTAGACAAGAGTTATCTTCTAAAAAGTGCAGCAAAGAATACTCATAATCCTGAAACATTGATAAGCCCCACAGATTCATAGAATTGTAGAGTTGGAAGGGACCCCGAGACCCCTTTACTTGTAAAATGCTAGTGTCAATTTATTTACTTTTGAAAATAAGCATTAATATCAAGTTAATTTTGTCTAGACTGAAATGTCACTCTTGGAATTACATTTTATCTGCCACCTCTGCTGGGGAGGTGGCAGTTGTTAATACTGGCTGCTGTGCAGTAGTATGTGTTAATTTAAATACATGCAGATTTACCATAGTACCATGCCATGAAAAGTGCCTTTGTTTCAACCATAGAGTGCACAGAGTATGCTCTATAGGAGACAAAAATATGTTTGTGATGGCATGTCACCTTGGCCAATGATTGGTCCCTGACACAAATGTATGTCTTCAACGTCAGTTTACAGAGCTCACAAAGTATGCCTGTCTTCCCCTTACATTACATTTTGAGAGTGTGCACATTAAATGTAACATGCAAAGTAACCTCTGATCTGATTATCTGGTGCAAATCGACGGGCATCTAGGTGGAAGCTTACAGCAGATTGACACAGAAGGAAAGTCGAATTGAGGTATGTGAACTTCCTAGGGATAAGGCCTCCATGAGGAATCATCCCTGCCTTGCCCTGCCATTCGATTAGAATGTAGTTTCTTGCTCCTACGGTATTTACCATCTCACTTGCACTCAATTCTCACTTTACACTTTCTGATATATGTAGGAAGTCTCTGCATATTTGTGCGCATGCCACTGCGTTGAATGACCACAGTTGAGGCAGCAATTGTTGAGTCCCAACAGCAGGAGAAGGCTATTGTCCTCGCATCAGGTGGGCCTCCCATAGACACCTGGTTTATCATTGTGACAAACAGGTTGATGGACTAGATAGGCTTTTGGCTGGAACCGGAAGGATTCTTAATGCTCTTATGCATCATTTTGCGATTGATTCAATACAAAATGAAAAAAAAAGTTGTTAGAAAGGTAAATGCTCAGAAAAGTTATCAGTTGATAAAGTGTACACAAGTAAGAACAAGGGTCACTTTGCAAAAGTAAAAAAAAAAAGTGGTTAAATATTTCAAGATGCTAAACTTGAAAGATTCATAGATCTGTTTTGTAACAAATGCCAGTTCATTCCACGCTGAATGAAATCTGATACCCAATGTAAACACAGATGAGTATCTTGCACACCCAATTAATCTTCCCTGCAAGTTCCCACAAAGATGAATCTGACTGGTTTCATTATTACCACAACTCTTCAATGGCACTTAATAATACTGACTTAGACTGGTTTCATGCTGATACCACAAAAAAACTCTTCTCTTCTGCCACTGCTCAGGGCTGCTCCACACACAACTAACTTTCCTACGTGTATATAATTTCCACGTGGGAGCATGCATGAACATGCATGCACTGCCAGATGAAGAATGCACACATCTATTGTCCCATGTGCATACAGAGAAAGAAGCTGTAGTTGGCAGTAGGTTCCCACAGTAAAATAAGGAGATATAAATTTGTGACATTGTCACTACAGGCATGCATAATTTACATATGATTTGGTTTCTTGAGAATATACTAAACTTTATGCTGAGGACAGTTTGGAAACTGCAGCTAGACAAGAACTGCAGATAGACTGGGTGAAAAGTTCTTACCTTGCCTGCACTGAAACAACTACAATTCTTCCCAGTGAGCATGACAGGCCAATTTGAAGTGCTGGTCTTAACCTTTCAAGCCCTACATGACTTAAGACCTAGATATTTGATGGATCAATTTCTCATATTCATCCACCACTGAGATCATTATCTGAGGCCTTTCTCCAGATGTCCTCAGCATCTAAAGTGACCCTTTTCTGTAGTGGTTGCTCACCTTTCAAATGAGCTCTGTAGCAGGCCAGCCTAAAAACATCACTGCTATAATTTATGCGCCAGGCAAAAACATTTCCATTTCCCCAGGCTTTTAAGAACTGCTAATGGAAGCATTCTTTAACTTGAACAGTTTGATTTTACTGTCTATTAAATTGGTCACTGCAGTTTTAGTTTTGTTTCAATTTGCTGTATTAGTGTGTAATAAATAATAATAATAATAATAATAATAATAATGTTGTTATTATTTTTAAATGGTAGTTTTGTTCCTTACCACTCGTTAGCTGCCCTGGGAACATAAATCTATGTTGAGGGCTTAAGATATACATTATGTACACAAACCAACAAACCCAATAGTGGGTTAGGCCTCCATATTAGTATACAGTATTTCAACCCAACAAGTATAGAAAGTGGATAATAGAGTTCAGGTCTACTAGACTGTATAAATGTAGATGGTTGATTCAGGATAACAACCCTGAATCAACAATATCCGTTGTCAACAATTATAAAAACAAACTTTGTATATGCTTCAGAATGTGAGAATCTGTGGCTTGCTGCCATATAATGTAGGAAGAGGTTTGTCTGAGCCCACAACTATATCTTCATATAGATAGTTCTAAACAAAGAAAAATACATTTTCAATTGTATTTTTGTGTGGATTTAAGAGAGGTTTCTTATCCATATCTATGCCACTCATTTATTTTATTTTGGTTCATTTCCTTTTTCGTTAAGCTAAAGAACACCTTTGATTTCACGAAGGCACACTTGAAAATGGACACAGTACTACATAATAAACAACGAAGTATACTGATCAATACCTTTCAGACCCATTGTTGTTTTCTCCCTGGACTCTCCCCTTTCTTAGAATTCTTTATTAAGAAACACCCGAAACTTCTAGAGCAAAGCAATACTGTTCAGCTCATTTGAGAATGAACTTGTGTGCAGGCTTGCCACTGTACAGGAATAAAAAAGCGCACTATGCCTTGACCTCACTCAAGAACACACAGTTACTTGCTGTAAAGCCAAATTGTTCCAGTGAAGCCAATTTGAAGATCCATACAGTTAAGCTTACTCTTTTTACCCGCTGAAGCTGAAACAGCAGACAAAGAGACTGAGTTTCTGAGATACTATATGTGTGGCAGAGAAATGTTTCCATAGAGAGTTTTGCAGCAAAACAGAATCGCTGCCTTTTATCAGATAAGCACACACTAGCAAAGCGTCCAGCATGATTTTTTTAATGGCTAAATCCTGGGGAAAATGTGAAGAATGTTTGGCTAGAAACATGCTTTCCCAATGAACACAAAACTTGGCTTGTTAGCTGCAGGACTCAAAGCAGATTGTTCAGTGCAGATGCATTTATTTAAGCAAAAGACAGAAAACAAGTGTTTTGGTACAAGTTTCCTTTAGCCAGACCTCCAGTTTACTAGTCTGTGTGGCAGGAAGGTTCAAACCCTCAAGTATTTAGGTGATATTATATAAAACACAGCTCTTCTATGTTTGGTTTGAAACTCTTGTTAAGACCTTCTGGTTTTCCCCCCTTGGGATGTATTTAACAAGTAAATGGACCACGAAGTCCCACAAGCTTCCACGTTAGGACTTTCATGGTGACCAAGATTATTACACCACAAGTAAACTGTGCTGGTGGCAAGGTGGGAACAATGCACAACCATGAGAGCGATGCGTACTATTAACATTGCTGCAAGGATACATCATGTGATTTCCACTCTATCTTGGTATCTGCGTGGGTGTACGGTGATGCAATTTTACATGATGTCAGATTTCCAAGCCTACACATTTTCCCCCTAGGAAAAAAAAAAGCCCCCTTGCTGAATTTTGAGTAACATCACACACATTATGTTTTGGAAAAGCAAACTTAAAATAAGATTTTTTAAATGGCTCACAATGTTATTCAAAGCATCTGCATTTGAAACTGGAAAGTCAGCATTTCTGAAATAACCTACTGTACTAAACACCACTCATTTCAGGCTTGAGCACTGCATTAAGGAAGTTAAGAAGTATCTGACTACTTTTGGATTAAAGATCCACAAAACCGATTTTGTGCCTCATGTTATGGGCTGAAAATGAGGTAATTTCAGGTGCTGTGTAAGTGGGCTATAATTACAACCAAGCCTCATACAAATATCCTGAGAGGTGTTTGTCACTGACAATGTTGTTTTGCCACTCCAAAAAGCCCCTTTATCATAGCTTCACTGGAAAGCACAGCCTATTCTACCTCTGAAAGTGTTTTGAGCTTGTACCAATCTGCTTGGCTTCTCTATTTATGGGCGTAAACATGGTCAATATACGGCAGGAGTGTGAGTTCAACGCCATCACTTACAAGTTGTGTGGACAGAACCAGGAGCAATTATTGAGTTTCCTTGATGGTTAGCATCTGACAGATGTCTCAGAGATATCAGTTTTAAAACTTGACAAAAAGAAAGCACATTTTGCTCTTTAACACAAACAGCCAACCTGCCACGATTATTCAGTTCACATTTATGCCAAGTATGACAGCAACCTTAAGCCATGAATTAAACTGGTAAAATTTCCCTCCCTTAATCAACTCAAAAGATATTTACTGCTTTCAGTCTGTGTGATGTGTGCACTCACTAAAATGAATCAGTTACTCAATTTAAAGGTTTTGGCCTCTGCGCATACTAGTTGCTTTACCAGTATAACAATAAGTGTCCAAATTGCCATTTGGTAGTACATATGTCAGTTTGTGGGAACTAGTAACTTGGTCTTACCTTTGCATATTTCTGATGCACCTCTACTCCACCCCAGTCCTTTTCCAAGCCCCTTCTTTTTCCTGCAACATCCACGTCCCACAGTATGTGGGTGAGAGAAGAGAGTGGTCAAAAGATTTGATGCAGGAGAGTTGCTGCACCTGCGTTCTGTCTTAACGCTGTGGAGCATTGTACAGATATAAGCAGAGTCTCTTGTAACCTCATTCCTTTCGTGAGGGAACAAGAGAAAGCACGATTATGTAAAATGCCACCAGCTATACACAAAACGCTTTTCCAAATTAACTGCAAAGACGAAAGCGAGAATGCCCAACCTGAGTATACATAACTTCTTGTGAAGACTGATGTCAGTATGGAAATTACGATGCAGAACATGCTGCCGTGTCTTGTGTCTGCAGTTGGCCAATCTACACAAACAGTTTTCTCACATATACAGTAACAAGGAGCACAAGGGGACTCCCATATGAGCCTGTATTTGAAAGGGTGGTGGACAGGAGAGGCATCTCCTCTCTCCGCAGCCTTCTGCTCCCTGTTTTAATTTGAAAACATCATGTCTTTTACGTCAAGAAAGGGGATGGAAAAGAAGAATAGCCAGCAGGGCACAAGGTAGGGGGGCTGCAGAACAGTGAACAGATGAGCCTTCTTATCTTAACTACACTGCACTGTGTAGTTTCCCAAACTTGGGTCTCCAGCTGCACCAATGTTTCCCAAACTTGGGTTTCCAGCTGTTTTTGGACTACAATTTCCATCATCCCTGACCACTGGTCTTGCTAGCTAGGGATGATGGGAGTTGTAGTCCAAAAAAACAGCTGGAGACCCAAGTTTGGGAAACACTGCACCAGATAGACAACCTTAATGAACAGTAGCCCCCACCTCCGTGAAAAGGCATCCTTTACCTCCTGCATTTATTGCAAGAAGTACAATGCATGCCCCAAAGGTATCATAGCCCAATTTCAGCATATTGCATGCTACACTCAAATGAATATAGCAAAGGCCCAATCATTTTTTGAAATGGAATGCAGCTTTGGGAACAGGGAAATTCAGAGAGCAGGAGAAGCAGCTCCCCTATATAATCATGGAGGAAACATGTTCCTGGACTTGGGGACGGAAATGAAGTGACTGTCAAAATAACTTCTCTTACATTCATCTTCAGCTGTCCATCCTTGAAAAGTGCCACTTAAGACTGAGCAGGAAAGTATTTTTTCACACTTTCAGTGCTTGCTCTTTCACATTTTAGCAGTATGGCATTTACAGTCAGAACAACTGCTCACTGCCCTGCCATCCAAACATCGCAAACATCCACAGCTCGTTCGCTCTGCACTGTTAAGTTTTCAAGTAGATTCTTGGGTGAGCTGGAGCAACTCCTAGCATTAATTTCGTTTCTCTCAGGGCCAAGTAAATCTGCCAAACAGCAATTTTCACAACATGCTTTGTAATGAAGCATTATGAACATCTTCTCTACACAGCCTTAACTTTCTTTTTCACTCTGGGATATTGTCATTTCAGCACTCGGAGACAAACAGCTGAATGACAGCCTTGAAAATAAAAGCCTTTATAATGTGGCCAGGAGTATTTGGCAGCAGCTGCTATTCCTTCGCACACATTTCCCATCATCTTTCCAGGCCTAGAAGCAAGCCTCGTTTTCAATGAGCTACTCTTCCACCACTGCATTGATGGCTTCCTTTTCATAATAATCTTACTTTGTCTAAAGAAAACTACGCCAGTCCAAAGACTATTACTGAGAACTGTAACAGTGATCAATAGTATTCTCAATGTGCACAAAGCACCAAATTATATAAAACAGAAACTAACTACCCTTCCTTCAGAGGGACTGTGTTAATTAGCTGAGCCATGCCAGGATGTTTGTGTTATCCCCAATACTGTCTCTGCAGTTGTCAGTGTAACTGTTTTGCTTTCAGGAGAGGCTCACCCAGCAGAGGAGAGCTGCAGCAGTAGTTTCCGAGGGGCAGAGTCATTGCAGAAGCACACACAGGTGAAAGGAAGAGGAAGCAGCAAGGCAGGGACTGCACAAGCACACCAGCAGTGTCAATCTGGTGCACCCACAGAGCTCCAACCTCATCACCACCTAGCCCCCCCCCAAGGCTATTGGAGTGGCTCCACCCTATAGGGCAAGCTGCTTCTGTTTCCTTTTAGATGATGAATGCTGTCTGTTCTTTACGCATTTCGTTTTGCTCTTGATGATATCCCTCTCCACCTGCCCTCACCCATGTTTGCATATCAGAGACCAACAACCGTTTGGGGTTCATGAGCACATCTGCAAACTAGAGGAACTCTTAAGAACATAAGAAGAGTGGCTGGATGGAGGAATTGACCTGGTATGTGTAACAGAGACTCGGTTGGACGAGGCAGATGGGTCTGTTCTTGCCACTGCTTGTCCACCAGGTTTCTCTTATGCACAGCAACCCAGGTCATATGGGCACGAAGGGAGCGTTCCATTGATTTTTAGGAAGTCATTAGCTTGCACCAGGCATCCTATTGGGAAGACCCAGTTTTCTGAGTGCATATCCTGGAAGTTGGGAAGTGGGCAGTACAGGATTCCTTTTGCTGTACAGACATCCCTGCTGCACCAAGAATTTCCTGCCTGAGCTGCTTTAGGTCGTGGCGGATGTTCTCCTGGAGACACCTAGTATGGCTGTCCTAGAGGATTTTAACATCCATGCCAACACGAACTCGCAAGGGGTCACTCAGGACTTCATGAAAAGCATGGCCTCCATAGGGCTTTCCTTGATAGCCCTCGCCTCCATGAATTCTCTAATCGTCCAGGGTGGTGGCCATACCCGCTAACTGTGGGAGCAAGCTCCATCATTTAATTATGCGCTGAGTGAAGACTTTTATCTGTCTTGAACCTTCCAAGATCCAGTTTCATCAGATGCCCATGAATTCTAGTGTTATGAGAAAGGGATAAAACTTTTCTCTATCCACCTTCTTCTTGCCATGCATAATTTTGCGAATTCTACCATATCACATCTCGCTTGCCTTTTATCTAAACCAGGGTTTCCCAAACTTTGGTCTCCAGCTGTTGCTGGACTACAACTCCCATCATCCCTAGCTAGCAGGACCAGGGATGATGGGAACTGTAGTCCAAAAACGGATGGAGACCCAAGTTTGGGAAACACTGATCCAAACTAAAAGGCCCAAACTCTGCAACATTTCTTCATAGAGGAGTCACTCCATCTGCTTGATCATTTTGGATGCCCTTTTCTGAATCTTTTCAAACTCTATTAATATCCTTTTTGAGACGAGGTGACCAGAACTGTACGCAGTATTCCAAAAGATTTGTATAATGGCATTGGGAGGAGCGCAGAAAGAAGAAATGCCACGGTGCTCAACCACACACCTTCATCTGTCCCACAGCTGCAACAAAACATGTTATGACCGGCATACTGGGAAGGTTTTGACCAATAACATTCCTTACCTTTGTCAACATGGGGTCCTAAAAGGTTTTAAATACTGGGCAGTCTCATGTGCCAAAAATTATATTTGCTTTAGATACCCCATGCCCGCAAAAGTGATAACTGAATCTTAGACGTATCTTATTCAATTTAATTGGTGTCAAGAGACCATCTGGCTATATTTCAAATTCATGCACAGAATGCTCTTGTTTGTTTCTCCTCAGTGCAGCAAAGGCAAGAGTGTGGGAGGACTGAATCAGATACGAGTTGCTTTAAACCATAGCTTGTTTTAAGCTATAGTTTAATGCTGCATGCACCAGGTTGTTATTGTTATTGTTATTACTATTTATTCAGCTTCTTCCCTTCCCTTCACCATAAGGTCTCAGGGTGGGCTACAGTAATTTAAACTCAATATTAAAAAGCAGTTTAACAGTAATAGGGTGGGACCTGAAAATCTCAGATTGTCAAGGGACAGGGTAAAGAGGTGCCTCTTCAGCATATGACAGAAATTATATGCTGTGACTAGTCATCTTATGGGTCAGTATTTGGGTAAGCAAGTGGACAGGCTGAGATTAGTGGAAAACAATACTAAATGCTTCCAGAGTCTTCCCAGCCACGTAGGAGGAGGAGAGGGGAAGGGGATCAATGAGTCAGAGTATTGCGCTCGTTCCAACTCATGTAAAGGTAAAGGGACCCCTGACCATTAGGTCCAGTCGTGACCGACTCTGGGGTTGCAGCGCTCATCTCGCTTTACTGGCCGAGGGAGCTGGAGTACAGCTTCCGGGTCATGTGGCCAGAATGACTAGGCCGCTTCTGGCGAACCATAGCAGCGCACGGAAACACCATTTACCTTCCCGCCGGAGCGGTACCTATTTATCTACTAGCACTGGCATGCTTTCAAACTGCTAGGTTGGCAGGAGCAGGGACCAAGCAACGGGAGCTCACCCCGTCGCAGGGATTAGAACCGCCAACCTTCTGATCGGCAAGCCCTCGGCTCTGTGGTTTAACCCACAGCGCCACCCGCTTCCCTTCCAACTCATGTACACAGTGCTAAAACCTAGTTTAGTGGTACACACAAACTGGGTCTCACTGTTTTCCTTCTGTCCCACATTCACTGTATTTCCACTTGGCTCAAGCGGTGTGTGCAAAACTCCAAGGTACCTTTAGCTCCATGTGAGAAAATGTTCTGAGATTCAACTGGTTCTGATTTTTTTTTTTTTAATGTCCCTTTCCTGCTCACAAGCCACTTGCATAGTTTGCATAGAAAGTTAATGGCAGGCCAATTCAGTGCAGAGAAGAGGGGGAAAGCCTGTACAGGGGCCCACTGAGTCAGTTCTAAAGATGTCTTGACATTTTTTCCCTGATAATAGAATGCTATTCTGGGAACTTGCAACTTCCACATTAGCTTCCTTAACTGCAGGAGTAACCAGCACCACTTCTCTTTATAGATCAGCTATGCAGGGTTAAGGAATATTTACAGGAACAGTTTCCTAACTGATTTTAGATACAGCACTTGGCAACTATCTAAGTTCTTTTAAAGGGTTCTGCTTTAAGGCACTTTTTTTTGCTGAGGTAGGGTAGGTAAGGAGAGTGCTTCGTTATTTCTATTTGAGAGAAGCTATCAACAGAGATGGTTTTATGAAATATCCACTATTTTTGTCTGCAGCGTAAGTTAAGAGACAGCACTTGGCTTTGCCTCATCTGACGCCTATAGCACTCTGCTTTCAAGTTCATAAATAGCAGTGGAGTGCTGGTCTTCAATTGTGTTTTACTTGAAAGCACAGCCCATTGATTTTAGTAGAACCTGCCAATTAAGATTACAATCTTTAATAGTACAGGTTAGTCTAAAACTGGTTTTAAACACCCCATCATTGTTTGCTTTAATCCTAGCTGAGGCATTTATGAAATAATCGTGCTGCTGTGAAGAGTCATTACATGTACATTTACAATCTGAAGTAGACCAGAGCTGTGTGTTATGCGAACATGTTTAGCCACTAACATTAATAGTTTCTCATGCATTTGCTGGGCAAGATAATTGCTTTTCAACACAAGTGTAATTGTTTTGGCAGATTTCTTGCTCATTCCATGTGCGTTTGCTTATTCCCTGGAGACTTATCTCTCTTAATTTTTGGGTTCCCATGAGAATGTTGATATTACAGCTTTTGATGGATAAAGTTGACTCCACCTCCGCTTTTGTTTTCAACCATGGATTCCATTAAAAAAACGAAATCACATTATTAAAGAGCTTTAATTATCACTTGGGAAACTTTCTCTGCTTAGCTAACGCATATTGCAACTGTTTACAAGTACAATTTCTCCCAATTCGAATGTCGCCATACTGCTCTGCCCTGGGGTGGAAGAGTGGGTATTTATGTTTAGCCTGCCCTTCCCTCCCAAGTCCTTCTCATTTTATCCTCATAAGAATCAAGTGAAATGGGTTAGGCTGAGAGATGGGTCAGTGGCCTAAGGTTGTACAGTATGTGTCATGGCTGAATGGGGAGTTAAAACCAGGTCTCCAAAGTCAGTCACTCTAATCACTAAACCATGCTGGCTCTAAAGAACAAACACTGTCACTTGCTCATCCAGGGTCCATAACACCCAATGACTAGAAAGATGATGGAGTCACACCATTTCTGTCACATATATTCCATCATAAGCTGAAGATGCACTTCTTTACCCTGGTCTTTGACATATGATTTATTTTCAGGACCAGGCATGAATCTCACTTGGGCTCGTTCCAGCTCATGGAAGTACTGTAGAAATCCAGCCTGAGTCTTTCTTCTGCCAATGTAGGTTTCAAATTCATTTTAAATACTTTGAGCACCAATGCCCTGGATCACTGGAAGATGTTATAGTGCCTCTACAAGGGGACAAAGCACGAACAGAGCACAAGCTGTGTCCTTGCCTTTCTTCTATAAAAGAGCACTTCCGATTTTGCACAACACCAACAGTAGTTTAGGCAGCACATCCCTAAGAACCTAAAGTATGACTCGGATGAGACATTTTTGTGCATGTGTATGAGATTTTTTTCACATATCTAGCCTGCAATGCACTCTGGAACATGCCACTATTCTGCCACTAGTCTATTCAAAAGACATGCACAAGAACTCAGCTGAAAATGCCAGGGAGAACCTGTTTTAGATGCCTGCCTCTCAATTTGTAATCAGAGCCTCTGCCAATTGTTTTTATGGCATCATCTCCCCTCCCCGCAAAAACCCTCCTCAGAATTTCTGGCTGCAAACCTTGGTTTGATGTTCCCTGCATCTTACTCTGGAAATGCAAGGCTAAAAATAAATTGCCACATTAATCTGTGTGCAGCATATTTAATTTCAATGCAGCACAACTCCAAGCCATTTCCCCTTGAAATATTAATCTTTTACCATACCACACACATCTGAACTTTCCGGCAAAGCTATTATGACATAATTTATTACCCTGAAGCAAGTCAAGATTTGTATGCACTCTGGCAAGCTCTGGCTGTCAGACTTGAACTGAAGTAATTATTAGGATGTATGAAAGCAGGTGTCACAAGCTGCAAGATGGCTTTATCTTCCTTGTTGTAACATCAACAGACTAAAAAGCAATCCATAAAAGAAAATGTGGCGTGGCAGGGCAAGTACTTTAGAGTCCATATGAATAAAATGGAAGCTGCAGATTATGTCTCTCTCCCTTTTGTATGTAAGAATTTAGCATCACTAAAATGACAAAATTCTGAAAGCATATGTCTCCTTTCCTCTTTCCTTACTAAAAACCCACCAACCAACCAATCAATCAACTACGGTAATTTTCATTTAGTTTCACAGGCACACATCAAACATTGAACCCTAATTTGCATATGGATTTTCAAAACAGGCTTGGCTGTAGTGAAAACGCAGGTGCTTTATTAAAGATTAGTTTGGCCTATTTGATGCTTACACAAAAACTAAGTAGCAAGCTGCAGAATTTTGGACAAAGCACATTAAATTAGAAACATAGCTTTAAAAAACTATGTTCAACATCATCGTTATAACCACTTTTATTGCTTATCACAAAAAACAGCAACAGATTCAATCAACTATGGATATTATTAATATCGCCTCCCATTCTTTTAAATGCAGTTATAAACCCCAATAATACTGTACGTCAAAGCCATCTTTCAAATGGTTCTGGGATGGGATGAAATTTCTGTTTCCCTTACTTTTTCTAGCAGGGTTATTTAGTTTTAAAAAGCAAAACTTTTCGTTTTCCATAATGTTCAGCAATTTAATTTGGCCATTTGAAATACCTTTGCTGCTTTAAACTGCTCAAAACTCTGAAGCCCTGAAATGTCATATTAACATTTCAAAAGGCACAGCATTAGAGGAGGTACACTTCTTTACGGCAAGCAGGCAGAGTTTTGTGGAGCACTTATGTGGGAAAGGTCAGGGCAAGATATGACCTACATTCAGTAGGAGAACAAAACTATGGCTCTGAATCTCTTATCTGAGAACGTACTGCCAGAGGAAAGTCCATTATAGGAAATGTACTGAACGTACACTAAAGTTCAAAATTAAGAAAAATGTCATCCAACCAAACTAATTTTATCAGTTCATTATGACAGCAGGAAAAGCTGGCAAGTCTTCAAAAGAAAAGTTGTTTTCTTCTCAAACCCCCACAATATGCTTTCATAAAGTTGACAACAACATGTCTCATTTCAAGCAAATACAGAAATGCTTGTGCTTCCCTGTCAGCTATTTTTGCAAGGCACGACTAAAGCAGATTTCACAAGACTCCCAGACAGTGGAAGGAGAAATCTCACAGATCAGAAAGTGAGGTACTTCAGTGTAATGTACCTAACAAATGTTTCTTCAGTTCCTACTTATGGGAGACCTTTATGGTTCTAATATCAAGTTAAATCAAATTACTCACCTAATGTGGCTGTGTGAGAGACTATGTACACTTACAGTGCAACCTTACTCATTTTTGTTCAGACAAAAAGTCCCACTGTGTAGGTAAGTGTCTACAGGATTGCAGTCTGAAGCAAGAAAAACTTTCTCCATAAGACTTCCCTCTTGATACTCTTATTAGATGTATGCAACTCATTAATCACTCATTAGTCTAGCATTATACCTTTCAACACGGTGAAATTGAGAGACTTTGGGATTTAGTTTTGTTTTCATTGTAGATAAACAACTTTTCTGATGCAATCCACAAGACACTGCTAATCATTTCTTTTAAAATGCTGCTGCAAAAGGAACAGGGAGCAGCAGCCATATCTTCAGCATGATGTTATTTTAACACTCCTCTCAAGCTTTTCAGGCTTATGATTTTGGGGGATAATCTGACCAGCCGATACCTGTTTATTTTCCTTTGACATTCCTAAAAAGCAAACACAATTGCAGGAAGAACTGAAGGAGCCTGCTCACATGAAATCATGGAATGAGCAACTGGCACCAGAGCTTCAAGGAGGTTTCTACTATGTATTTATACTGTTGCTATGTACTCATTGGCCCTAATTCTATGGTTTGGATAAGGTATGAAATAGCTGGAGCCCAGAACAAGTTAAGGAAGGTTGTAACCACAGGCTTTCGTTTCTCAGATAGAAAGCTGTGGTCCAAAAATGTGCTGGCTGGTTTCAGGGGCAGCTGCTGGCCAGATTCATACATTTCTAATTTTCTCCTTTCCTACCAGCAGTATTCAGTGGCTGGATGTATTTTACAGTGTAGGGCGTGCAGGCACAAAGACAACAAGAAGTTACAGCAGTATCTGCCTAGCCTGCTTGCTCTCTTTACAGCTCTGAGCAAGCTGATGTCTGGGCTTTCCCCTGAAACTTCCTTGAAATGCAATGAGACCTCTGATACCAGTATTATAGCATTTTCCAGGTGGTTCCCAAGGCAAGCACCCCTATTATGGCACCTAAATGATGCCACCGTTTGGGGAACTGGGATGCGTTGTGGGCTTGCTTACCTCTTCCTCCCCTTGCAAACTCAAAACCCTTCCTATTTGGTACAAACCAGCTTGGATAGCTCAGTTGGTCACAGTGTGGTGCTGATAACGCCAAGGTTGCAGGTTCGATCCCCAATAAGGGACAGCTGCATATTCCTGCACTGCAGATGGTTGGGCTCAATGATCCTCAGGGTCCCTTCCAACTCTAGTATTCTATGAAACCAGTAAGTTTTTGCAACTGAACTGGGCAAGCAGTATGCAACCAATCATCTGCCTCCAAATGAACTGAAAACCAAAGCCGATTTTTTCTCTCTCTTTGCAACTATAGTTTAGGACAGCCTTCTCCAACCTAGTGCCCTCCAGATGTTTTGAACTAACCCCCCCGCACAGATGCTGGGTAGGCCTGATAGGAGTTGTAGTCCAAAACATTTGGTGGGCACCAAGTTAAGGAAGAGTGGTCTGGCATTATGAAAGAACTAAGTTATTATGTCTTTCCCAATCTAGTGATTTGCCCAAAGCCTCCCAAGAAACGACGCTGCTGACCACAATTTTGACCTTGGGTTTTCCACACCCAGCCCCAACACTTCCGCGACTGCAGTGCCCTGGCTCTCAATATATAAGTGGGTTAGGAACAATATTTTCTTTTATACAGACAACATGCAGCACTAGGTTAAAAGATCAGACAGGAAAGTGTCTACCCAAAACAACGTGGTTGCCAGTTACAGATCACTGACAGTTAAATACAGAGATTGAATGTGCAAGAAGGAATGTTTGCATACTTTCTCAGCACCATATTATGAAAATAAAAGGCCAGTTCCTATCCAACCCATGGATGTCTTAAATGCAAGTTTCAGATTAAAAGAACACAAATGTTTGAGCTGCAGTGTGACAGGTGGGCTTCAAACAACTCTGGGCAAAATGTCCCACAGACACACAGCTTTATATGGAAGAATAGTGTCTTGAAATTTATTTTAGTATTATTATTTTTTTGCGGGGGGGGGGGGGGAGGAATATCCAGAAAGAAAGGGGGAGGAAAGATTCAGGATTTCTAGACTCCCCAGCCCCCTAACCAAGAATCACATTGTTAGAGTGGGAGGAAGTGTCTGCTCTTTGCGCTTACAAAATCTGAAGAAGAGCAGACTCAATACAGGGAATCCATGGCCTTGATTCAAAATAAGCAATTTATCCATGTGTCAGGGAACTATATGTGCAGGCAGAACTTTCTTTGGACATATTCTCAAGAGCACTCCACTTCCTAATCCTGAAGAGGCCATTTGTCCTTCCATTTCAAAACTGGCAGGAATTTTTCAGAAACTGGAATTGCTGTTAAGAATACTTAAATGGAAGTGTAGTTCCCTTACTCACATGTAAGCTACTTCTACAGCCATAACATATAACTCATGCACGTTCAATAGAAAACTTTGGGTTGACGGGCACAAGTGCTGTGGGCACTACTGCCCCTTGTTACTTCACTTCCACTTTGCCAGGTCACACAACCCCACATCAAACAGACAGAAAGAGAAAACACCCATACCCGGGCATATCTATGCTTTGCTTTACTGTGGGGTCTGGTTAAAATCAGATCCAGTAGAATTAAAATAATCTAGAATTTACATGGTTGTACAAGGTCCCCACAAAACCACCATCAAACTAAAACATACATGGGCAGACTGTACAGTAAAAATCGTAAGAGCCAGCGCTTCCCAATTACAGAAAAGCAATTGTCTAGGGCATGTATGGATCATAATGCAAATTTATAAATTTAAGTTTCATTCAGATACATTTGGAAAAAGGAGAGGGGGGATAGAAGGAAAGGTCTCTAGGCTTCCATTGTGCCTCTGGTTGCATTATTAGGAATGCAAAAGGGTCCTTTTGGGCTGGGAATAACTTTTTAAAAAGATACTATTGTTTACTTTGTCAAACTAATTTTTTTTTTGGAGGGGTGCCTATTGAAAGTCAGAATGAAGTAGTCACCCATCACTATCCATCGGTAGCCTGAACAAATGTGAAATGTAATCGGGGGGGGGGGGGGAATGCAGAATTTTGGGGTGGGATCTGGATTTTTTGTTGTTCTGTCATGTAAAGCCAGCAAATGTCACCTTAAAAGGAATAACAAATCCTCCGTATTTAGCTACTGCCGAGATACTACTCTGTCAACTACGTTATTTCTAGTAAATGACTCATGAACCCCTACACGGTTCTAATAACTTATTTAAAGAGGCATCGCTTCCTAAAATACATTTTAAAAAGAAAAGACGGACCTACCAGGATTGCTATTCAACTTGAAGTTGAAACAATTTGCATTCCAGGGCTTAACAACATTCCCTCACTTAAAAAAATAAACCAAATCTAGATGTTCCCTCCAACCTGATTTATTTATTTTTTTAAACACGTAGCCTGAGAAAGAGTTCTACATAACTTGAAGGTTCACATAATTGTGAACACTGTTAGATGGTGGTGAACGTATTATTTTACTGACCTTGCTGGGCATAAAGTTCACAGCCATTAGATGCAATTCAAACCAAGTAAGATTCTAAAACATAAAACGTGTCTTTTCTGGGCAGACCTCTGAAACAAGGGTGTTGCCTCATGCCAATGGATTAGTTTGTCTAATTATAAGTTGTTACTAAGAGGTTTGCCTGACAAATGACTAGGCAATAGGAGTATTCATTTCAAGAATGCTGTGATTTACTGTGTGGGTAATTGTAATAGGGAAACACGTCTAATATCTCACCCAGCGATCCAGTTAAATTAAGAGCATAGTTCTGCCCTCAAGAAGAAAGCAGAGGATTTTCACTTAAGTCTGTGGCAATTACATCTATGTCTTCCCAAACCCATAATCTATCCAAAGCAAATGTATTCCACCCACACTTACAAATGTTAATTAAATTTGACTCGAACATTTTTATTTAGGATTGGATAGGGCTTATCAGAGGATCATAAAAAAAAAACCTGATGCAAAACATTTACAAAACTAGCTCCAGAAACTCCAGATATTGTGATGGAAACCAAGAGGGATGAGTAAAAATAGTCTGAAAGCCTCTGAAAATACTCCAGTTTGTATGAGAGGTGATAGTGCGACAGTGTAGGCAGTAATGTTTCAATTGCATATAGCGTCTAAAATCAAGTAGCACAAACTTTCCCCAAGACATTGTGCTACTATTTCCTAATCTGTTCTTGTTCCAATAATCTATAATGAGTTACTGCAAGGGTGGGGGAGAAGAAGAAAGTAAAGATACCTTTTCGATACCTCCCCTAGCTTTCCCAATTTAGAAAACAAAGCAGTTCTTCATGGATTATGTTGCTAGTGTTTTTCATGCAACAGGAGAGGAACTTGGGTAACAGAATCCCTGAGATTATAAAAATAATATTCTACTTCAAAAAAAATAAAAATCACTTATTTATAGCAGTAGATCTAGTCCCTCTTCCACGGAAGCTAACTTTCTTTAACTTCGCATTCCATGCTGGGATTTCTCTCCGACTAAACATAACATCCAGGTTCTTGCATTTAGTCAGAAAGATGTCAGTCTGTACCTGTGCAAGTTTCTTGGTGAGGTTGATGGACTTCATTTTATAGGGTATGTTCGCCACTTGCTACATTAAAAGAGGGCACACTGGAGAAAACAACAGCAATCTTCTAGAAGCAGGCTTTGCACCTGCTGTGTGGATATTGAGCTTCTCGCCCAACGCGTGTAGCATTTTAAATTTGGGTGAAAAAGCTCTTAACACTTTCCCCTGTTAATGTCAGGAAATATGGTCCAGTGAAAGTACTCTGGGACTTTTACATAGGCCCAACTTCCTGCTTAGTCACAAATTGAGGACGCTTTGGTTCCTTCTCTGTAAAAATGGAAATAGCAGTGACTTGCCTTTGCCTGCCATAGGGATAATGAGAAAGTAAAGGTAACGTCTGCATTACACAAATGGCATCATGAGAGTAATAATAATTACTTTTGTGAGCTGTGTTAGACAAAACAAGCATGTTGCTAACTAAATGTTAGCACCACTAATCTACAGAAACCCTAAATAGGTGCTATACCATTTTCTGTTATTTACTCTAACACAGTCCAATCAAAAGACAATATAGTAATGGAGGTTTGCTTTGCTATGGGACATGCAGCACCTCCGACAAAATTACTCAACTTAAATCTGACTGCACAGAAAATTCCTATAACACTTCTTTCTGGTACTGAATTTATTTACTTTGGAAATCGATTTGCTCTGTCACTATTTATTGCCGCATGCTGTTCAGTAATTCTCAGAAGCCGCATGAAAAATCACAATGTTGCACTTGTTAAATTGACCTGATGAAGTTAGGACACCGCTATATGAATCACCCCAAGAGGCAATTCTCCTAAATTCATGCTCTGCATAACGCTGCTAAATCAGAAGAAAAAGCAAAGTTGGTTGTACCGTATGTACCCTGCAGAGTTTTCAATTGATTGTATGTAGTTCCGTATACAAAACATCAATTAGTTTTACTTTCCTGCTGCAGCTTATTGCCAAAATGAGATGTTTACGACCTTTTAAAACAAGGTGGATTCAGTAGTTAAAATGTTAGAAGACATAATTAAATACTCTCTGGAAAATGGAACAGTTTCTCAACAATATTCTAAGCACGGCCTCAACTGTTCTGTAGAAGTGAACTGAACATAAAGCATTGCTTCTGTTTCCCTTCTGAGTAGCGTACACCCACGCACTTTCCCCAGTTTCCATATAATTGGAAAAGCAGAAGCATTTGATTGTAAAAGTTGTATGCCCTGACTCAAGTCAGTTGAGTACACATTTTACTTGCATCAATAGCAGAGTGGAAGGCTGCCAGTTTAGTGTCTTGGCTGGCATTCAAACATGCTGTTTGCTGAGCTCTTTAGCTTCTGAGTTCACTATAAAAAACAGCACAACATCCCTCTCAAAATCACTTCTGATAGAGGCCTTTAAGCTCAGACTCAAGGAATGAAAGGATGCAAATGGTATTCAGCTATTTCTTTAAAAAGGTATGTTTTAAAATTGTGCTTTGGCTTTATATGCATTTACAATACAGAGTATAACATTTTATCCAGCCAAGCAAGGTTCCCATGCATACTTACAGCCAGAATTTGCTCAAATCACCTAGAAAGGTGGAGCTTTACATTTACATTTTTACATGTTACTTGTGGAAAAACCCAGACGCAGCAGATCAAACTGCCTGGAAAATTCATTCATGTTCTATTGGAACTATTTCATAGCACAACGTACAAATCTTTCACAAAGTTTGAATATGTATTCATACTGCATATATAGTAGAGGCATATTTGACTACTTAAAATAATTCCCTGGATAACTAACTCTGCACAAAGATGGTACAAATGAAGACTTGGCTCCTAGCTGAAATTATATCCCTTAGGGAGAGGTCTATGTAATATTTAACCACAACAGATAAACCTACAGCTTCTCTTAAAGTGAGTTACTAATTGCTTCAGTTAACTAATAAAAGACTGGATTTACTGTACTCATCCTGGGAAACCGTAAGAGGAATTCTAAAGCAGCTTCAACACATTTAACTTTTTGCAAATATAGAAATGATTTTACTTAGAATTTCTGT